ATTTACCAGTTATCAAGTATAGTATTAGGTATATCATCTGTGGTTATCATGTATAACCGCGAATGATTAAATCAGAATTTGGTGTACAGATTTTTTGTAGTATACAGAGTATTAATTAAGCGATCGAAACGTTTATGCAAAATATGATACTGAGCCATCTATAATACCTACCTGCGCGAAAATATATAGCTACGTCTACGTATCCAACGACAGCGGACAGTGACACTGCGGCATTGCCCGTAGTTCATTCATTAAGGGCCGACACACTATAGTGTCCGTTCTGGGTCCGACATCGGTCTGGTAAAGTATTTTTATACAAGAAATATTGCTGGATTGTGATTCGACTAGGACTTGACTCTTACTGACAGTGTGAATGCCTTCATTATTTCCTGTTTATAATACATTATTTAATCTTATATTATGAAATGAGGAATTCTGCATAATATTTATATAAATTTTCGTTTATCTCAGAAATGGGTCTTACAATTTGGATCAAATTTTTTATGTGTTTTGCTTTTTTAAGTTGATTTATGTTTTTTAAAAAAAAACATTATTCGCAAAAAACATTTTTTTATAACTAATTATTATTAGAGCCTTTTTCTATCAGCTCGCATACTGCCAAGTGACAATGTCATATAGCGCCATCTTGTAAATTTTGTGGTACTCGTATTGTTACCCAAAGGATGATAATTGATAACCTACCGAACGAGCACCTACTACGAGCGAAGCTCGGTCGCCAGGTCCTATAACTTTAAAAAACTTCTTTAAAGGAGGAATGTACTATAATTTATATATATTATTATACAACCATGACCCATGATATAACAAAACAGAATGAAAAAAAAAACCATGATTTAGTACCCCGGAAAAATGATCTTCCTTTTTTGAACTATGTCAAATATTAACGTCGTTATTGCCTGTTGCTATGATAAAACAAAAAATTTCTTACGTATAATATATCTAATTTTATTATGTATAATATTAATATGAGCGAGAAACGAATAGTGGCATTCTATGTCACATTTTTTCGGTGTACTTTTGAATCTACTGTTACTTTTTATTGCTATTCCTACAATTTATTGATTATTTATTGATATAGATGCATACAGCATTAGCAGCAGTGGAACACAATCTATACTATCTATACATATAATAAAATTGTAGAGGTCGAGTATATAGAAAAAAAAATGCTAAAAACCTAGTCAGGAGGATGAAAGAAGAGAAATAGAACAAATCCAGTTCTTTTTTAATTTTTTTGTTTATTTGTCTAATTGTACGAGCTAATCTCCAAAACTGTTGGACCGATTTAAATGAAATTTTGCATGGTGGTACCTTATATCCCCAGTCAGAATTTTAGATACTTTTCAGCCGGGAAAATCAAATAGTTCCCGTGGGATAGTTAAAAAACTATAGTAAATTATTCAGCTTAGTACACAACAACTTATACGCCTAATTTAGTAAAATTTGGCATACTGATACCTTATATTGCCGATCAAACAACAGGTTACTTTTTATCCCGGAAAAATGAGCGGTTCCCGTGGAATAGATCTGATTGTGCTCTTCTAGAGGCGAACCCGAGCGAAGCGACGGTGAGCCGCTAGTAACATTTAAGTCTATTGAAACTTAACAGTGTGCTTTTTACACTACAACAGATCTGTACAAAAAATATCTAAACAATTTTCCAACTATTCGCAGTTCTGACCGTTCAAAAAATAAAAGATAGACAAAGATCGTAAAAATTGTTGACTGCTCGATTTCAAAACAAGAGGAGGTATTCCATTCGTGTGTATGGTTTTTTTGTGAGTTGGGCAATAACTTTGCCAATCGTGAACCGATTTTAATGTTTTTATAGTTAATAGTTTTAACATCTCGTACAAATTTTTACCGCTAGAAATGAAAAAAATACATTTGAAATGGTTTTTAACTTTGTGTACCAACCTTTTTTGTTAAGAAGTAATTAGTTAATTGTAATAACTAAACTAACTAAATTAACTGCCTCGGTGGTCTAGTGGCTACCATGTACGTCCGTAGATAGATCTGGAGCTCCTGGGTGCGAGTTCCAGTCGGACCAACTACAGTTATTGAGTTTTTCTGTCAAAAAATTCTCAGTAACAGCTCGGAGTGGAAAGTTGGCGGTGTTTCAGCCCCTTGAGTCGGAGAGCACGTAAAGCCGTCGGTCCTGCTTCTGACTCATCGGTCGTGTCGAAGTATCGTCCCATCGAACTTGTGTGAAGAGTGCACTTGTGTTTTCTCTATAATATCTCCTGTGGCTAGTCTTATACGAGAATATTATATATATTTAACACCAGTCCTTTCTAGGGCAATAAAACACAGTTTGCTAGGTCACGTTTTATTTTACATCGATTTATAAAATTACGGCGTGTCTTGAGTAGATTAGGTAACACGAATTTTTGGCAATCACTTAAATCTAAAATCACGCCATTTGACTAGAGACGTTTAGGTATAGATGGGAAAATATGACAAAGCATTTCATCTGACTATTGGTGAAGTAAAATTATATTTACACTACAAAAATCTTGTGCTATAGAACAAGAAAAGGAAAAGTTAAAATTCTGAATGTATTTGCCTCGTCAACAGTAAGTAGGTACAGCTTAAGTATTATATGCTTATTTAACTCACATAATATATAGATATAACGTGCGTCTATTGAATCTACACTACATTAAATACAAATTCATTACGATGAAAGTATGTAGGTCATAGAGATATGTTAGAGAAATAAAAAATTGTCTATTACTGAATGAAACAAAGATGTTACCTACTATACATTACACAGAAAAAGTGAAAATAATAAATAAACATATAAATAAAATACTTTTATGTAATCTTAAGTTTGTTACTAACTTATTTACACTAATACATTTCAGTCCAATATCTCTACAAAGTAATATGAACGATTTATAGTCTGATATTTAATTCGGCGGAATTCTGACATTTCAGAAATGTTGTCAGCTTTGAAACATTGTCACTAAAAACAGAAAGCATTTTAGCAAAATAAAAAAATAAACCTTTCTTGAATTTAAGGTTTCAATTAGAAAAACTAAGGCTTAAAAAATTATTGATAACTCTAAAATGGTAATTATTTTATTAATATCATATTATCGAAGTTAGAATAATTATTAAGGAAATTATTTTTCTATTACAAGAATCCCTGTTCAATAATACATAGGTTGCAAGCCTTTTTTTAGGAAAACCCCTTTGTTTGTAAAATCTTTGCAATTGGCAAAAAGAATTGGAAAATACCAAAAAGACAGGTCCACAACGATCGTTCACGATTTTTTATTATTGTTTTTGGTAAGAATGCATAAACCATATTATAAAAGAAAAGGATAAAATGTGCCCTCTTAATGATCTGATGGATAGTGTGAGTGATTCTTTTATAATCCGAGTGGATGATGACGACAAGGATAATATAAGTAATAATGATTAGTAAATATTTTCATTTCTTATATTTTGTTTTACTCTGTTTTTTTCATTTAACCATTAATTTTTTTTACATTATAGTTAGTGTGCATTGAATGCACAAAACAAAGACTATTTACAATGTCATACATATAGTTTACTTGATCTAATTCTGTTTCATATTTTTTGTTATTTTATATTACAAAAAATAAAAAGCAGAAAAGGTTTATGATATCTGAATTGTCAAAGAATGATAGCTGTCATATTTCCGTGGAATTAAAAATCAGACTATAGACTTCGATCGGTCATTTCAGATGTTTCGACGTGTTACGGCACTAAATTGACATTTTATGCAATATGTACGCTACAATAACATTTAACAATACATAATTACAAATTCTTTGCTATATACAATTCTTAATACTAACAATTAGATAAATATCTAATGATTGTGCTAATGAAGTTAATTACAGAAAATCTAACACGACTGCCGGTAACTTTCACCTTTGGCGGCAAGTTGAGATAAATATAATAAATATAGTATTTTATACATCATTATGGTACTTACTTTATAATATTTTATATTAGTTAGGTTAAAATAATTTTTAATAAAATAATATTATTGTTAACAAGTTTTCCTCAAAATGTAAACAGACAGTTACGTAGGTTCTTTATCTTGTCCAATGTGCGTTCACCTTTGTGGTGGAGAGGGGGGGGGGGGAGAGGGGCGGTAATTCTTTTTACCGTCCAGCAACTCAGCCGGGCGCGAAGCCAAGAGACAGGGAGGGAAGTGACTCACTTCGGCAGACCTACCGTCGTAGTTGAGTGCGTAAGCGATCCTGCGACGATTGTGACGAGGGGGAGGCTCTGTTGAGGTTTAGCGGGTACTGTGTTTTCTAGCCAGTGAGCCCACATAACCATCTGTTTATAGCCACATAAAATATAACCACCATAAAGTTATTTTTTTTTAAGTGTTTTGTGTTTCCTGATCATAGATAATAATGTCTTAAATTGCAATGTGCTGTTTATTTAGAGCCTGAGTGAATATCCTGAAAGTAGACATATTTTAGGTTTACCTATACATAAACAAACATATGAATAAAATATCCGCCTATGTATATACACATTGAATCGAAATTATGTTCTTATAATCTTTTTACACGGAAAATTATATTATTTACATCATATTGGGTACATACAACACATAGGTACATTGCAATACATACTAAGATAAAAACTAGTCATATTTTTTACAAATAATAATATACCTACATTTTCATTGTTATCAATTATCATAGACTAAAAATTTCGATTTGTCATTAAATTATTTTTTACAATTCGAGTTTTTACCACGAAGTTTCCTTTTTTTATTTCACACTTTGAATAACTCACGTATCACCACATGAAATATAATTTTACAGAGTTGAATAGAAACCATAGTTTAATATTGAGTTATTGGTATCCGTCAAAGTATCTGTATGACTAGTTTTAGATGATGTACACCTAGAAAAGTCTTTAGGATAAATACGTTGCCGCGCCTCGTTCTTAGGCTGAACGACGCGGTTGGCATTGAATCAATGATCCGTACTAAAGTAAGAGTTTTGCATAAGGTACAACTTGTCGATTGGATTTACTACAGTTCCTGTGCCGAGGTTGAGAGGCTCGTGGGACACATGGGATCCATGTTGATGGGGATGGTGGGGAACCTCTAGGTTCTGTAAACTCATGGTGTCTGAGGCACCTTCATCTAACTGGTCAAAATTGCTTCCGTCAAGAGATATATCTGAACTGCAAAAACTGTCTCCGGAGTGTGTAGGGTAATCTGAAATAGAAACGTATATGAATTTTCTAAATTAAAAGTTAAATTAATATTAAAAATGAAAAATTTAAAGTACGCACCGTCAGGAGAATAAGGTAGATTCGGATTAAGAGGCTGACTAGAAGCTGAGTAAGCGGCGTCAAGCCCTAAATAATTTCCGTGCTCGCTTGAAGGTGACTCTTGCTTGATGCTCTTTTCATCTTTATCCTTTTCCTTATCGGTACCCTTGTCACCTTCTTGCTTGGCTTTGCGCTGAATCTTTTTCATTTTGGCTCTCTGATTTTGGAACCACACTTGAACAACTCGGACGCTCAGACCTGTGTCTTTTGCGAGTGCTTCTCTAACTTTACGACAAGGTTTTGGACTGACCTCGAAAGATGCTTTAAATTGTCTTCGTTGAGCTGACGTTAAAATTGTTCTAGGTCGCTTTGGCCCGCGCCTACCGTCTCGAGGACGTTCTGAGTCGTCTATTATCATATCATCTTCGGCGTGTTGCATCAAATACATTTCTTTTTCGAAGTCTTGTCTGCAGAATATTTGACCAGCTCTAATGACGTACTGCTCACCCTTCTGCAGCGGTTGGCAGCACATGACGCAAACAAAGCATTGTATGTGGAACACATACTGTTGGGCGCGCATGACCATCTCCTGTGGCAGCAGCCTATCTCCGCAGCGAGTGCACTTAACGCTGAATAATCTGTGACAAATTAAAATAATGATGCACACATGGATTAAACGCACAGCATTTCGCAAGGCAATTCGCTAGCACGCAAGCAGTATTCGCATGATTTACGTATGCCTATTATAACATGAATATATTTAATAAATATATAATAACTAATGGTATGATTTAACAAGTTTTTTACTAATGAAATTTCTAACAAAATACATACATATAATACTAATAAGAATATTTTTAAATTGACAATTTTTAAGATATGTACCTATCATAATCAGGCTTGCAGTAGAGCTTAGCGTTTCTTGTGTAACAGGTATGGGCCAGAGGGCAGCCGCAGACACAACAGCTGAGGCAGTGTTCGTGCCAGGACAGCTCACCCACGCGCATCAGATACCGGTCTTGAATTTTCTGACCGCATCCCTCGCAGATCTCCACGATCTTCTCTCGCTTGATGCTCGCGTTCAACTCTGTGTGCAATAAAGCTTTCATTAGTAGCATGTGGTAAATCTTCTTTTAAAGTCAATGAAACCAAGTTATTTCTTTTTGAATTCTGTATACATTGTATTAATTTAAAAATTATTCGCAATTGCAAAATTAAACAGTATAAAGATTAAAATTACAAAATAAATAGTATATATATACCTATATAGATACCGAATTTATTCAACGTGTCGCAACTCGCATCATCATAATAATTGCATCAGCAAATTATTATTAAGTTATATATAATAATAATAATGTTCTCCTGACCGATTCCGGCCAAGGCGGCCAATCTCATTGAGACGAGCCAACTGTCAGCCACAGGTGCACTCTCTATTCCTGTCACTCTCATACTCCGGCGGGACGACTACTCGACACGACCGGTGAGAGTTAAGGCGCAGGACCGACGGCTTTACGTGCTCTCCGAGGCACGGGGGTGAAACACCGCCAACTTCCCAACTACGGACTGTTACTGAGGCTTACTATAGAGAAAGACTCAATAACTAAACTTGGCCCGACCTGGAACTCGAACCCAGGACCTCCTAGTGTGCAGCCGTACATGTTAGCCACTACACCACAAGGCAAGTTATATATTATAGTATATTGACTAACGAATGAAAAATTACATTTATATTATCAGTTTTTTAAATTTTACGCAGAATTTTACGTCGTATTAAAGTAAATACGATATCGTAAAGATGGGGGATCATAAAATAGCGCTCGTGAAATTCGGCTTGAATCCCTGCTTCGTAGGTATACTATATATTTTATAAACGCACTCGTATAACCGTAGCTATAGATATGTTAAGTCTAAATGGCTTTGGGAAAGTATCAGCCGTCTCAACATGCTCCTTAGACATGGGGAGGGGACCCGCCCCTGTAGGAGGGGCGTCCCGGGTCACCAGGGTCGCGGGATCAACCCGAGAACAAAATGTCTGCGTAAAATTGCCGACCTAACTAACGGTTAATCGATGTGCCGCACACTTTACACCAAAATATAGCTTCTTAGTTTTTTCCAGGCAAACCATTACTTCTCTCGGCATCAGTTTTAGTTAGTACGTAAATAACTTAAAGTTATTCCGTATTATAAATAAATATTAATTTAATTTATTTATTTAGAAAAACTTTAAAAATAAAATAAAAACCAACTTCCAGGCACTAAAATGTAAAAAATTACTAAACGGGGGGTTTCATTTAGAATAGATACCTAATCAGATATTTTCATAGTCGGTGCCAGCCAACTATATTTTAAGATATGAATATCTAATAGGTAAATATGACAAGATATGAACTCTAATTATAGTTAAGATATTATACATCAATTTGTGATGTATTTTACGTATCGAATTAGATTTGCTTTGCATCGGTATGCATGTATTCGAAAGAGATGTACTGATCGCACATGACCTGATCCCTCTCATATTGAAGGGAGGCCCGTTCCGGGCAGAAGGATGTTAAAAAAGGGTTGAATACATACGTTTAGACGTAAGCCCTATAAAAACTTATAAAACTGGAATTTTCATTTTGAATAGATACCTAATCAGATATTTTTGAAGTCGTTGCCAACTACCAGCCGATGTAAAGCAAATCTAATATATTTCGATACGTAAAATACATATTTATTATTTACCTATTAGATCATATCTTAAAATATTGTCGGCTGGCACCGACTTCGAAAATATCTGATTATGTATCTATTCTAAATGAAAACCCCTGTTTAGTTATTTTTTTAGATTTTAGTGCCTGGAAGTTGGTTTTTTTAAAGTTTTTATAACGTCAAACGTCGTGTGCCATTGCTGGGCATGGGCCTCCCTTCAGTACGAGGGGAATCAGGCCATAGTCCACCACGCCAAGTAGGGGCTGGCGGACTTCACATGTCTTTTTTGAAAACTTGCTAGGTTCTCTTGGACATGCAGTTTTCCTCGCGATTTATTCCTTCACCGTTAAGACAAGTGGTAATCATGTTGGATATGATTCGCACATGAAAATATCAGAGGTGCGAGATGTGAGATTCAATTCACTTATTCTTTCATTAACTACGTAGCAAGTTATAAAAATAAGCGAATTTTCAGCGAAGTCGGTGAAAGCAAACTTTTTACATTGACAATAAAGGAGGAAGTATTCCGTTCGGATGCACATTATTGTTTTTTATTATATATTTTTTGTAATAGTAACGTTGTAAATCTTTTTTAATAAATATGTTACGTGTGATGACTCATTCAAAAAAAATGTTCACAACATACACTTGTACTTTTACGTATAGGTATCTTTGTCTATGCTGAACTTTTGAAACAGTTTTCACAGAAATATAGAGTTAGAAGAATAGAATAAAACTTCATGATATTTTACTATTATAACTCTAGCTGAACTTTTAAGCATGTACTGCCGCAGACCCGAAGGTCCTGAGTTCGAGTCCCGGGTCGGACCAAGATTAGTGATTGAGTTTTTCTGTGAAGCAATTTTTAGCAGCAGCCCGGAGTTGTAAAGTTAGCGATGATATAGCGTGTCGCGTAAAGTAGGTAGGTACATTAATTTGTAAGTTAATTTCCACCAGTCGTGTCGAAGTATCTTCTCATCGGACATTGAGAGTGATAGGGGATAGAGAGTGTACTTATGTATGCCTGCGCGAACACTTGAACACTGTAATGCCCCCAGCGCAATTGGATAATTCCGGTGAGATAGGCCGCCATGGGTGAAACTAGTTAGGAAGACATCATCATCATAACTCTAGCTTATCGTTTGTATTTTTTTGATTGTTAAATTTTCATAATTAAATAAAAAAAGCTTGGATACATTTAGAATGTGTAAAAATCGATCCTTTTTATTACAAAAGTCTAGCCTGAATATTTTTACGACTTATTGGATAGTTTTTATTTTTTTCAACCGATTTCCAAAAAAGAAGGTTCTCAATTCGTTTGCATTTTTTTTTTGAAAACAATTTATTGCCCGATAGCTTTTTTAGACCCGTTGTAAATAAAATTGTTTTTTTTTTAGGTTTTTAATAGAAAAGCCTTACGCTGTATAATTTAGTTACGTGAACGTTTAAACATATTTTTAGAATTTGTATTCTATGTAATTTAATAGGACGAATAATAAATAAAGGATTTCGGATTCGTCCGATAATAGAATGAATAAAAAATATTTTATTCGACTAATATTTACCACAAATTTTTTTTCGTTTTCTAATATATAAAAAGTGATATTTAGGCGCTGGACTTTCTATATTTAAATAAAAATAACCTTAACCTACCGAGCTGGAAACTTATTCTTTTAAATCTCAACGATTTTTAAGTTCAAGAGTTCTTAAGGTTAAATTATTTTTAGGTGCAGGAGTTTCTCTATGCAAAAAAATATACCTTAATCTACCCATCTGAGCCGAGCTACTTATTCTACTTACTTAATTATTAGGCTATTCGTCGTCTTTAATAAACGTAGGATTATATTTTTAAACTTGTAGTTTGAAAGGTTTTTGACTGATAGGCTGAAAAGGTAGAGTCCTCTTCAAAAATGCCTTCTCTTGGTCCCTCTTTGAAACGCCTCGTTTGCGTTTAATACAGAATTTCATCGCCAATAATTATTTAATGTGTGGATCTTAGTTAAAATTTTTATAACAAAGAACTGTAATGCAACCCCAAAGAAAAAAATGTTTTTTTTTTGGGTTTTTATATTTTTATCTCGGAAAAATATATTTCTTTTTTTTAAGTTAAGAACTATTAGAAATAAGAAAATAAGACATAAAAATATTCAATATATTTATTTTAATAAAGGTCTTGAATAGACCAGAAAAATCAGAAAATCTCTTAATCCCTCCACGACCGCAGACACGCCGGCGTTACAGTTATCAATAGATTTCTTAGAAATTTCATTAATTTGTGTGAAAAAAAAATTAATATATAAAAAATAAATAAAAATACCTACTATAGCATAACATCGTTTCTTTATCTAGTGTTTCCAAAATACCTACCTACTTGATTCACCTGACTTGACGCGTTTTTTACCATCATCTGCTAATATAATATAATAACGGGTAAAATATTGTCATATTTATAAACATACTAAATTTTATTTAAAGATGAGGTAAATGGTGAAGTTTTCTAATCAAAAAGGAATTGATGTTGGATGTTAAAGTGAGGGGAGAACATAAAAATAAATGCTGATCTGCTTATTAAAATTTATGAAGATTAAAATAAAATCGTCATGATGTTTCTGAAATAGGTGTACCTATTATTGTGAATAGACTTTTATATTCAGTAAATTTTCAGAAATAACTAAATAGCAGTAAGCGGACGGCTAGCGGTTAAAAATTAAAAATCATGCTTTAATATAATTTTGATTCACAATTTCGTTATAAGGAAAAACTATTTGACAGCCTACCCACAATTAACAAAATGAAAATTGCACCAATTACATTACAATATTTTTTATCTTTAAACATTTTTATAAAATATACATGTAACACCTCGGCCTCTCCCGTGACCATGGATGCTGTAAAGCATTCGAAACGTCGGGAACCAAAAATCAAAATAAATCCGCGAAATAATCCGAAAAGATAGTTTTATTTAAAAATATCAAATATTCGCGTAAATCTAAGAAAGTATTATAATTTACATAAGTAAAAAATTATATTAGAGGATTCCCTGAACTATCTGTGCACAATATCGATATAAATTAATTTTATTATAATAAAAAGATTTCTGAAGTACTTAAAAACAACTCCCCTGATATGTCATAAATGCGGAATTTTTACGTTAAGGTCGATTAATTAATACAAAAAAGTGTGTGTGTACCTACTAAATGTACGAACGTAGGAAGTTATACTTTTTTGGCATAACAAAACAAAAATAACTCTAAAAAATTTATCCTGCGTGCCAATACTATACATCTGTAGAAACAACGATAAAATTATAAAATAAAGATATTAAATACAATTGATGAAGGTTTAATTAAAAAATATACCTATTTAATAAATAAGAATGGCTATCGGCAAGTAAAAGAATTTTTGCTACTAACATGGATGT